AATAAAATAATAAAATAAAATAAAATAAAATAAAATAAAATAAAATAGCAAACAGACTAAGGGTCCGGATGGATTGGAAATAAGATTTTGGAATTAATTAATTAATTTTCTGCCAATATTTTTGTGCCTCTATACAAGACCACCACATATGGAAGAAAGTTCCCTCCTTTTTTTTACATTTCCAGCAATTCGGACTCATATTGGGGTGCATATTTGCTAATCTCAAGGGGGGAAGTTGCCATCTGTAAAACATCTTATAGGCATTTTCCTTGTAGGCTGCCGATTTTGTGATTTTATTATTTCTATTCCAGACCTTCTCCCATTCTATTAAGGTGATACTACATCCTATATTCCTACTCCAGGCTATCATATTCCCTTTGACAATTTCTTCCTCTAATTCTGCCTCTAGTAGGTAATTATAAAATTTTGTTATATTTTTTAAGTTCTAGGTCATTATTTGAAGGGAATTAAGGATAAAGATTATTAAAAATAAAAGGAAGGAATATAAAATTGGCTTAATTGATCAGGATTAAAATAGATATGTTGGTATCCCTAGTATCTTTAATGGAGTTCTGCTGATCGCAGGTGAAATGATGAGGCTTTATGGATCTGTTTATAGATAAAATATGGGATATGGGAAGAAGAGATTACCTATTGTATTTTAAGAAAAGTTACTAAAATTGTTTATATTGTTGATGAAGGGGAAAGTTATTTATATATTTTTTCTTTACTATACTGTTTTTTTTTCTTTTCTAATTTCTTTTTCTGTACTTTATATCATTTTTTAACCTTTTTTTACTTTGTATGAATTTTTTTTATCACTGTAATAACTTTTAATAAAATTATCATGAAAAAGAACTACCTATATTTCACTACTATGTTGAAAGATGATGGAGTACATATGAAGAGTTATGTTGCTCAAGCTACAAAGGAAAATTATAGCAATAATTCTCTTATCCTTTTACTTTCTCTTTTTTTTCCAAAAAGTTTTTTATTTTTTAATCTTTTACATCTTTTAGTGAACAGTGTAATTCCAGGTTTTTACATTTCCATACAAACATGACCATAATTACGTATCTATCTCAAACATTCAGTTTCTTATCATATCATTGCATTTTTCCATTTTCTATAAATTTTCAAAAATATTCTTATATTTTTTGCATTTATTTTATCCAATTTTAATTCTTATCTTAACTTATTCTGTTTTTCTTTCATTATACTCTTATCTTCTTTATATAATATCTTAAAATTCTTTATTTCTTATTCTATATTCACTGTATTCTTATACTTTTATCTGTCATTTGCAATTTCATCACATATTCTTATTTCATTATGCAATAAATTCCATCTTAGTATTAATAACATTCCAAACATTTCCCCCTTAATTACCTGTTTGAGTTCACCACTTTTTGTCTTATACATCATTCAATTTACTCCTCTTTAACTCATATTAAAAATTACCATAATATAATCATTTTTAGTTATCACCTAAATACTACTTATTGCATATACATTTTAGGTTAGATTCAACATGGTATTCTTTTCTTTATTCTAAAGCATTTATTTTTTACTAATACATTTATCTTTTCAGCTAAGTAAAGAAACTGGTATTTTTCTTTTTAGTACAATTCTCATAGTTCATTTTAACTATATTTTTAATTTCATTTAATGTAATTAACATTCTTATTATAATCCAATCTTTATATGTATCCCAGTTAATTTAACAATAATTCTTAGAAAATAATCAAATAAAAAAGTAAAAACATCAGTTCCAATCATTCCCTTTTTGCAATCTATATTCTTATACCTCTTCATATATTACCTTGTAGAATCCCCTTTCTTATTCTCAATTTACCCATTATCTCTAGTTCTTCTAGCCATATAGCTTCTTTTCATTTTTTCTTTTTCTTTTTGGCTTTCTATATCCCCTTCTTTTCTGGTTCTTTCCCTTATTCCTCTTTATTTTTTTTATTTTTTATTTCCCCCCTCCATTTCTGACTCCATTTTTTTTTATCCCCCTACCTCTTTTGAACTTTCTCCTGTAATTCCCCTTTCTGCTGTTTCTATTTTCTTGATTTGACGTTCCTAACAATTACCTCTTTAATTGTCCCCTCAAACATCCAGGTTTGAATTTCCATGTTCCCCCCCGCCCCGTTTCAATGTTTGTTGTGTCGTTTGTTCATTAAGGCTGGCCTCTTCTTTAATCAACTCCTCTCCTTCTGCTTCTCCTTGTCCGTCTTTGTTCTCCAACGGCGCCATTTCTAGCATTTGCAAAGCAGTACTTCACAATTCCACTTTTCCCCATATCATTTCCTTTATACTTCTTAAGTCCGATTTTATTTCCAGACAGTATTTTGCCATTTTTGTGCACCTCTTTTAATTTTAATTTTTTTACCTCTTTCTTCAGTGTTTAAATTCAGTCGTTATCCAGCAGTTAATTAATCCAGCTTCTAACCATCCACTTCTGTTAAATCCTATTTCGAGTTTCCAGGGTCAAAATAGTCAAATGTTCATATATTTTTGTTGTTAAATTCCTTCTGTTGAGTTTTAAATTTTCCTCAAAGTCACCTAGTATTCCCAGGATTCAGACTTCTTTCTTCTTCCTTCATAGTATAGTAAATTCACTTTTCAGGGTTTCTGTCTTATTGTTTCAAAGATCCTTTTACTTTGTATCAAGTTCCATAGAACCAAACTTTTTAAAAAAAGTCATTGAAAGTTTCCTTTACCATTAGGTGGCACTCTCTGTTATGTTCAAATTTCACTTTTTCTTTTCCACTTTCCTTTCCCTTTTAGAGCTTTTAAATTTGAAAAATCCAGTAAATCCAATTATTGTATTGTATTGTATTATTTTCTTTTGGCACATTCAAGTTCAGCTTTTAAGTATGCCTATTTAGTGCCAATTGTATAATTTAGTACAATCCAATTTACACAGATGTTTTCCTCTTTCAATTTACTTCTTCTCCTGTTCAAAACACTTTCACTTATCTCCTTTTTTTTTCCCCACTCCCTCTGGTCACCGCTTTTCCAGTCTTTTTTTTAAAAAAAATCTCTTTAAAGTTTTAAATCCGGAGTGCCTTGTATTCAGATATTGCACTTAATTTGCCTGGTCTCCACACTGTCCGCTTCTCCACCTCTCCTGCATGATCTTTGTCCCGGGTAGCTCTCCTTCTTCAGAGTGGCCATATTTAGCCACCGTTGCAGCCTGTCTTCTGGGGGAGTTTACCTAGCCAAGGAGGGGAGATGTGGCTCCCCTTGACCTGACAGGTGGTCTCCCCCTTCTTCCCCACCACTTCAAGGTGGCTTTAACCCCATTGGGAGACCTCTAACAGGTATAACACAGATCGAAGCAGCGCACAATCGTGGTCTTCGGTCCATCCTCGAAGGAAACGCAACCGGAAATCTAATATCTCTTCCTATAGCTCCATGAACTGGAAAGAGGCTGCTCTCAATTCTAAATTAAAGAATTTACTGAATTTATTGTGAATGTTAGATTCAAAAATAACACTTTTTTATTGAACTTCAGGTTGCTAAAATCACAAAGCACACACTAACGTATCCTGTCTCTTCCTATACAAGCTTAAGGTACATTTGCTAGGAACTGGAGGTCTTATTAGTTAGTGATGTATTGCCTTCCTCATGTTTCCCATGGCAGCTAGCAATATTTGTTACTTAATTTACTTAATACACACTTGATCTTAGCCAAAAGGCCGAGAAGTGATTACTTAATTTATTTAAATTCATTTTAAAACCATATGACTTCTAATATTATTAGAAATTATTATTTATTTCTACTTTTGTGCTTATCAAGGAAAGCAAATTAAATATTTTAAAGCATCAACAAGTCATAGTCAGAGTAAAATGAATTAAGAACAAATGAACAATTAAGAATGCTATTCATCTATCACTAATCCTCGGGGCAGATATAGGCAGTAGATGACTGATAAAAGCATATTAAACAAGTTAGACTATTCAATAATTGAATAGTGAATAGTGCAGAGAAGTAACAGATGTTTAGCTTCTTCAGACAATAAATTAGTACAAAAACACAGCTGTCTTTTTAGAAACTGGAAAGCAGATAAATATTGAATTACCTTCAAATGATACAAGATGATACCTGTGCTCAGAAGATCATCGTCAATGCCTATTAAATGAGGCAGCTCAGAATCTAACACAACTCCAATACCTTCTTTCCGCAAAGCTAAAGTTTGCTCCTGTAAACACAAACATGATAAAGCTTTCTTAAAAGACATTTTTGCATATTGATTCAATAGTTATATAATTTAACTGAGGGTAAAATCACCACAGTGTTAAAAGAAATATTGGAAATGACTATAATTACTACAAATAGTACAAACCATCAACATAAATCAGTTGAATGTTGATTTTAATTATTTAATAGAAAAGAAATGCAACTAACAAAATAGCATGACTTAACATGTAAGTATCAAAGTTTTGGTATTTAGATATTTAGGAGCAAAAAGACTGATAATTGGTTATTATCTGATAAATGACCAATTATCTGATAAATCTGACAAATCCCAAATCTGATAAAGACTGATAAATGATTAATATCACCCTTCAATAATTTTTGAACTCATAATGTCTGACCTATGGCAATGAGTTCCATAGATCCATAAAAAAATAAAATTGTAGATCCTGGAAGTAATTTTAATTTGTACTTGGGGCTTCCATTGATACAGATGAACAGCATTCAGGTTTTTCATAAAACCTATTCACAATATATATTTGATGGTTATATTTTGTTCTATTAAAGTTTCTAAAAACTCTTCAATAAAACATACTGTAATAATCCAGTTTATTTGTTTAAAACATGGAGCTATACAGGAAAATGCCACAATGTTTTACTGATGTAAGTGCTAACTAAAATATGCTTACAGGTGGTAACCAAAATTTCATACATTGGAAAGAATTTTTTAGTCCATCCTTATCAAATACACTTCTCCAGTTTAAAGCTACAAAATTATTCTTCAGTACATAGACTAAGTTTAAACCAACAAGAAATATTCATGGACAGGCTTAGCTAATTTTGCAATCTTGCAGCTAAAACCTCCATACAATATTATGCTGACATGCAAAGATACATGATATAAAATTTACAGCAACCAAATCAAGTAACTAGCATTACTAGCATCAAAAACCGCCAAAAGAAAAGAACCAGCTGGATTTCATATGGAAGATATTTAATGTTAATCTACTTGTGTTTTAAAAAATGGAATTGAACATTAATGTTTCCTACAAGTTTCATGCCTCATTTTGTCTTAATTGGTATAAATTAGTTTCTCCATAAAAACAGACATTCTAGATATGCTGACTTACAATTCCCTTTTTCCTTCAACCAGCATGGTTGATTATTTATATAGTCAGTGCATCTCTAGGTCTGAAAACCAATATAAATGAAAAAGCCTGTAACACCACTAAACACAGTTGATTGTGTTTTAAAATATTACATTACCTAGCAGAGCAACAAAAATTGAACGTGAGAACATACTCATCTATGGCTCAAATGCCACTTTCCCCCATCAAGACGGAGTCCATTGCTCCTGACAGATTAATTTCAGTCTGTCTAGCAACAGGCAATTTTGGGGAAACTTACCTATTATGGCTTGGCACTTGAGCAACTGCTCCTTCACTACAGAATACGCTTTATGACATTTTCTATTATGTCACAAAATGTTTTATGGTAATTGTATGTCATAAAATGTTTTATAACACTTGTTAAAGTTTTGGGGTTTATTCCATGGGAGTCGTGGATCGCAGACTTAAACACATTCTATATAAGTTAGCCCATTTGAGGTACCTTGGTGCAAAAGTTGTTGCCCTACAATGCACTGTTTTGCCCAATAAAAGATTATACAGGACAGTTTTAGTAGTGTATAGATATATGGAGAATATCAATTTAGAAAAAGGTCAGTTCTGAATATGTGACTGAAGCATAAGTCAACTTACACATATGTAGAACAAAAGAATGAATACTGTATAAAGTATGAAGAGAATGAATGAGCTGAAGGAACAACTGAAGGAAAAATGGATGGATCAAGAAGAAGGGGAAATCTAAGTTATGCAGTTTATGATAACCCTAAAAACAAAGAAATGCCCATTTAAACAATATAGGCAATATATGAAGCAGCAGACATAGTGGAAGTAAGTAGAGTTAAATAGGGGAAGTTATACTGTATTTAGTGTTGTTGATAGAGAACCTATTTTAACTAAGTTTCATTTTCTTTTTTTTCCCCATTTTTTTACTGTTTTTCTGAGATCTGCATATTGTTGTTTACTCTTTCATGGTAAAAATTGCAGAAAATGGACTATCTGATTTTTGCCAATCCATCACATCTCATGTAACAACCCCGAAGCTATTTCAAGAGAATGCAACTGTCTTGAAAGTATGGGATAAAGGATAGCTAGAATGGAGTAGAAATAAAGAAACAATGCAACTTGTTTTGCTCTAGTAAAATATTGAATGTTAATACATTACTACTAGGAATGACTCTTTGGGTACATATGTGAATTATATACTACCCCAGAAGAAGCCATGATATGCTAACATTTTCACACAGGAATAAATCTATTCATTTTCACTGACATGATGTTGAAATTATAAGTTATAGGAAAATTAATACAAAAATGAGAATGACCAGCTAAAGGTCAAAACAGTACAAAAATACACTCATGTTTTTGTCGAATAAAAAAATATCAGATGTTTTGCAGACAGATGAAATGGCCTTTGAAAACCAATCAGTTTGATTTTGTGTACCCCACCATAAAATAATTAATGCCTTGCTCTCTCAAATGTCATAGGTAATTGGCTTTGGTCAGACAGCTATGGATTTTGCTGATGTATTTTATATTTCCACAAATGTGTGAACTCTGCTTCCCAGTTAAGAACTTTGCTGATGTGTTTTATATTTCCACAAATGTGTGAAATCTGCTTGCTACTTAGAAATGTTTATTATGAGTATTTTTTTCTCCAAGCTTAATATACTCCTGTATTGAAGCAACTTAGTTATGAACTAAGTTGTAAAACAGCTGCCTGATATAACACTACTGCATCTTTCACACAGTGTTCACAGTGGATCTGTAATATACTATATAGAGGTGGGGACAGAAGTCTAAAATAAACCCATCTTCTAATCCATCTTCTTGGGCTATCTTTTGGTGCATTTAATAATCTTCTTATTACATAAAGCATTTCCATCATCAAATTAACTAGTACACACCCAGGAAAGCAACTAATAAATAAAATTCATACAACTTTGAAATGCCTTCTGACACATAATCAATATTAGAGTTTAATAATACTTAAGAAAAACGGCACATGTTTGTCTTCTGGACTGAACTTTACAACCCAACATACTTTGCCTGTATCCATCCTCACCCAAGGATGTTCTTCTAACTGCTAAACCTAGTGAACTCTAAAGTTCAAAAGAAAACAAAATCAGCATCAGTTTGCATCATGAAATATATATGCTATGTCTTATTTAGGCAGAAAACTTAAATGTAGCTCCTATGTTACATACCAGTAAATCCATGTTAGCTGTATTATACACTAAAGCAGGAGTGTCAAACTTGCGGCCAGCGGGCCAGATACATCACATGCTGGCCATGTTTGCCCCTGGTTTAGCAAAGGGGGAAAAAGTTGTGATATATCACGTGACGTGACATCGCGAGTTTGACACCCGTGCACTAAAGAAAGCTGGTCGAACTCAGTGAGATAAGTACCACACAGATGGTCTCTTTTGCAAAGATATATCCATTCTGTTTGTACTTTATATCTTAGATGAATGTAAAATTTCTTAGTGAAATCCTAAAAATGTCAATAGGTTTTATTATCATGACCAAAATAATTAGCAATAGGTCAAACTGTTAACTGTTTTGAATGAAAAGCTAAAATAAGTCCTCTAACATAAAAAATAGCTCACAAATACATGAGATTTTGGAAAATTTAAACAACATTTGAAAGAAAATAAGGCATTTCTCAAAAAGTACTCTGTGGTAGCAATTTATTTATCACCCACAGAAAATTGTTCCAAGGAATGAGTAATTTCCACGAGTCTCAATTTCCCATATGAAACAATCTAACGAACCCCAATGGGTTAGTACCAAACACAACAAACCTACAGATCTGGACAAATATCCTTTGTGCCAGTCACTCTACCTCATCCCAACTCAACTCACAGGGTTGTTCTTGTGGGGGAAATAGGAGGAAGAAGTGTTGGATATGTTCACTGCCTTGAGTTATTTGTAAAAATAAAAGACAGGATACAAATAAATAAAATAATAAAATAATAAATTATAATATCCTTTTCCATATTGAATATAATTATGTACTATGATTTCTTTATCCTGTTCATATAAAACATGTCAATAAATCATGGAAGGACTTGTTATAGGGCTTGTTTTTAACCAGTCCTTCCAGTCATCCATTCAGGATTTAGATGTGTTAGTACTCCTTTTGTGTTCATCACATACTTAGAATACAGAATAACAGAGTTGGAAGGGAACTTGGATGTCTTCTAGTCCTTATCTTATCTTTTTATAGTTGAATAAAATTGATTTCAGTATTCTAAACTTTGGTCTGCTTTTCTTTTTTTGCCACTTCCTATTCCTTCTTACTAAAACTTTTCCTGTTCTTGCCACCTCCCAAGTCCCTAAAGTAAAGATCCAACTCCGTTACAGCAAAACATATATCTGAAGACCATCGGCCAATAGAAATGGCTCCGTGGCGAGGGGAGTGCATGTGGGCGCTCGCTGCGAGGGCGCTTCTACCGGCCGATAGATTTCCTCCCCCATGCACACACCCCACCTAGAGCGCCCCATGCGCACTCACCTCTCCACGATGCCGCTTCTATCGGCCGATAGAAGCAACTGGTGACTCTGCCTTCGGGGAGCTTCCATCAGCCAATAGAGGCAGCCTTGGGAGAGGTGAGCGCGCATGGGGAGCTCTAGGTTGGGGTGCGTGGGGGGAGGAAACTAAGTCACCCCTGAAAAGACATCCTAGCTGTTTTCTCGGGGCTCAAAAAAAAAAAAAAAAAAAAGATCCGGCCTTATTTTATGAGAAACACGGTAGAATATTTAAATGAATACCAGAGTGCATGTATTACATTCATTAAAAAATAAACTGAAAACATACAGGAGCAACATGGAGAACAGTAATCCAAATCCTGATGCAGCAGGTCTTCCAAAAATTAAT